TCTAATAAAACAAAGACATATTTCCGTACTATTCCCTCCTACCGCTTCGAGTTCCTTTGTTAGACAGCGATGGAAGGAATCAAGGAACCGATAACGTCAGTACGGTTTTCTAGTTCTTTTGTTGTCCCACCCACCCGCTTCGATTCCCACCCTTGCAGCGGGGTTTTTGTGGCTGGAAGAGCCCAAAGTGCGCCACTTCGCAAGCTACAAATATATATGCATCCAGTCCGAATAGAGCGTTCATCATGTCGCGAGAGTGGGGCCACCAGAATGTACGAATAAATACATACGCGGAGCAAACAACGAGGATTTGGCAGACCCACTGCCTCTCCATTGACTCATTCTTCTCTCCCGTCGTATTCTATTTGTATGGAAAGGTTTGTTGTCCGGTCAGCAGCCCAGGCAAAAATTCCTTCCCTTCCTCTTCCCGTTTGCGTGTGTGCCACAGGCACGGTTTGATTCCAGTGGCATTGTCGCCTCCACGCAACCACATCCTTCTGTTGCTGCATTTGCGGGGCAAGTGGGTTTGGGCATCCAGAGCACACACACACACACGGCTGCAACAAGAGGGACGGGCGCATCCAAGTCCACGGCGCGGTCCTTCGCTTCTCTCCGCCGCGACGGAATAGCGCTGCGCCTCGCAGCAGGTCGTGGCGGGTGGCGTCCCACACTCACAAGTGAGGCACGGCGCACGCCATCCGCTCCCCTCCGAGTGCAGTCAGCAGGCCGGCGCCCAGTCACCCCAGTGCCATCGCAAAGGGGGAACACAAACAATCGTCGTCGCGGACCATCGGTGTTGCTAGCAGGAAAGAAAGAAGAAGAAATGGAGGCATGCCAGCAGCACAGCCGGCAGAGGGACATTCAACAGGACACGGAGACACAAAGTGACATGGGACACGGCACAGACGGAAAAAAGAGACTTTAGTGATTTACCAAAACAAAAAGAAGAAAAAAGAAAGAAAAAGCAAAAAAGAAAAAACAATTGACTCGGCATATATGTCATTTCATGTGCCACGCAGCACAATGCAACCGTGTTCTTGGGTTTATACACACTGCCCGCACACACACAAAAATAAAAGGGAATTGTACTCTCCCACCAGCCCACACAACATCCCTCACATTCCATGCGGCATCCGGCCTGCTCCTCCACTCCTCCCTTCGTGCAGTCCGTGGGACGCACAGCAATGAGGCCGGCACCGCGTGTGGGCAAAAAAAGCAAACAAAAGAGGGAGAAGCACGTCACGCATGACGGTTTGCAGCAGGCGACCGTTTTTTGGGGAAAACACACAAACAGGGGTGCTGATTATTTCAGCAGAGCACCAGCAAGAAAAAACACCAAAAACAAAAAACAGGAGAGATGCAGAAAACAATAAAAAACAGGAAAAAAACAGGAAAAAACAAAAAACAGAAAAAAAAGAAAAAGAAAAAACAGAAACGTAAAAAAGAAAAAAAGAAAAAAGAAAAAGGAGAAAAAACGTAGAAAAGAGAAAGTATCCTTGACAAAACTCATTCAGTATTGCTGGGATGCCGCTCAGTTGTTTCTCCGCAAAATTCTGCAATTTTTCTCTCCCCAATTCATTCAACAGAGAGCCGCAGTGCCCCACAGCCCCAGAAGCATCAGCAACAGCACCCGAGACACACACCCATGCACGGTGCTCTCAGCAAATAGAGCCATGCCCGCCAACTCCTCGAAATGCCCGTTCTCAAGCAAAATGCCAGCGTCCGAGGGTGCTGTTGCGTTGGACTTCGATGAGATCTCGGTTTCCCCAGGCAGGGTGCTTGTATTGCCCGATGCGGTGCTAACGTCCTCGCTGTCTTCATTTTCAACCAAAGGCGCAGTGGTTTCTTGCGTCTGCCACTCAGTGGCCCCTTCCGGAGAGGTCGCTTCTTCTTCGTGGATCGGTCGCTCCACGTCGGCCTTCGGAATATCTTCAGTCCCGAGAGGTGGTGGCACTTCTTCCTGCAGAGAGGTGCTTTCACGGACACCCATCCCGTCGCTGCCCGAATGAGCAGAGGTGCTCACACTCGATGAGGCCGGTGGAGGCGCCAATTCGCCGCTGCTATCCGACTCCGTCTCCTCCTCCCTTGTTCCGTGCGAGCCACGGCCTCCAGAAGACACTGCGGCAGCATAACTGCCTCCAGAAGCTTCCACGGATGATTTTGGCCGTGGAAGCGCCTCCTCAACTTCCTGCTCTGCTTCCTCCTCTTCAGGTGATGATGGTGTTTCCTCCTCTTCTTCAGTGAGGAACTCCTTACCAGGGTTTGGAATAGGGACTGTGCTGACACTGTGTATCGATGCAGAGGGAGCCTCAGGCGCCAAACCATTGTTGGGGCTTGTATGTTGTCTCTCAGGATCCCCGTTACCCAACGCTGCATGGCTGCCGAGGTGTTCCTCGTTTCTCTTGACTGAAGTAGCCCCAAATTCGCCGGTGGGCCTCGGCGGAATCTCCGGTACCGAGCGTGACTCCTCACCAGGGTTTGGAATAGGGAATTTGCTGGCATTGAGCATCGTCCTTTCTCTTCTATAGATTGTGCGGTTGTACAGCAGGACGTTGCTCACTGTCACGTGGCTGCCTTCCGAACGCTCCTTATTCTCCGCGCCAAAATAGAAGTGTGAGATCCTGTGCTCTTCAAACAGACTCACGTTGTAGTGCCCAGAATAAACCCGCATTCCATCAACGTACACATACCACCGACGGACATCCATTTGCAGCATTACTTGATGTGTTGTGTTTGGTTGCCAATTATTATCAAATTCGTAATATTCATCATCTTCATCATCTTCATAGTCTTCAGAAGCTTCATTATGGGGTGTGAACTTCCACTTCTTTTCATGGGTGTACGACAGACCAAAAAGGACCGTGCTGCTGGTGTCATTCATCCTCGCACCAATCAAAGGAATGGGGCTGCTGCCACTCTGCGGCACCTCGTGGATGGACACCGTCGCCACAAGAGTGAACTCGTTGTTAGCGAAGTAGTACGGCACAGTCTGCCCCATGTCGCCAACAGGCCACACCGCCCCTGCTTCAGACCCTTTGAACGTCAATCCATTGGGAACCATTCTCTCCCCATTCGTCACAGTTGCGTTCACGCAGAGGTACTCGTCTCTCCATGTGTTCTCAGAGGAGTTACCAGACAAGAAGCCAACAAGCCCATCAGTGGGAACAGGACCATTGCACATACCCTTCGTTGGCAAGTCGACAGTGCCGCTGGAACCGGAACGGCATGAATGCAAGGCGCTGTCCAAATCCTTCCATTTCTTCACCATGGATTTGATCCGCTCCAGCTGCTTCCCCAGGCTCACGGCGACAAGACTGTATGATCCGTCATCACCCTTCTTGTTTTCGTACACTGAGATCAACTTTTCATTCCCACTCCTCATCAAAAGGGAGCTCGCGGCAGCGTCATCAGCCTCACGGGATATCGGCCCAACATCATACACACGTGCCTTGTCCGTCAGCCAAAGATGGAGCCGACCCTTTTCTTTATTGCTTTCTCTGTTGTCCTTGGAATACACTGGCAGGGTAACAAGCAACACATCCTTGTCCTCAATTGTCACTTTGATGAAGCCATTCTGGACGCCGTACCCTGTTCGATCATGTGAGTTGCCCCACACGCGAGTAAGTGTCTCACCATATGTATACCAATCCACCCCACTCACAGTGGATCCGTACACGTCACGGTAACCTTGCTCACAAGAGGCCATGATGAGGAGTCTGTCTTCTTTTCCCCACTCCACGATGGTCGGGTCCCTGCAGCCATCACCAACCGTTTGGTGCGAAAGCCTCCATTTCTTCTCTGACTTATCAAAACGCATGGACAGCAATGAAGTCTTTCCGTTCTTTGTGGCCTGCATGGGAAACATAAGTGTACCGTCCCTTGTCTTAATCCCCGATCCTCCGCCAGAATCCAACTGGGTCAGGGATTTAGCAGCATATTCATCGTTTCCAAATGTCACTGCATGGGTCTCATTCCACGTGATTTCATTGCCACCACTGACACTTCCCTTCACCAGCAAAAGTCCCCAGTCACGTGCAGTAGCCGATTTACCCTCCGACGTCGTAAAGCTCTGATTTCTCAGAAGCATGTAGACACTGTCGCCAGCCACAACTGTCGTTGGCCGCATAGATTCTTTTGCCTTGGCGGTACCTGTAGCAGCACCCTTTGGAAACGGCATCAACAAACTTGTGTTCGTCGTCAATATCTCCGTTGGCTTATCATCAGTTAGATCGAGGTGCCTTGACGCAATCCCAGCACGGCTGCAGCCTTCGCCGTCTTCCCTGCACTGCGCTTCAGCAACCACGAACACAGCACTGTTCACCTCAACAAGGCTGGGAACGCGGAGCGAGAAGAATTTTTCATTACCTTCTGTAGAGCCTTCCCATTGAGGGGATGTCCATCCAATTCCTGTAAAAGGATCAACGTCAGTCTTCGTCTGCACAGTGTGTGCAGCCCCACTGCCGCATAACACGACGAGGAGAAGTAGCAGTGCTGCAGAAGCAAACACACGCCGGGACACGTTGGGCCTCTGCTGCTCCCTCTCTCTTCCTCCCTTTCTCTTTCCGCTGGATCCGGTCACGCGGAGACGGTTGTGTGTGCGGGGTGCCATGACTGCAGCAACACGTGAGAGCATAAAAATATGTGAGTGTGGGCGGTGTGTGTGCTGTTGGTCCTTTCAGAGCCCTCCAATTTCACAGTAGCGAGTAGCGCTTTTTTGCTTTCCTTCCTAGCGTGCGTGTGTTCAAGAGGCGGAGAGGAGCACAGCGACAGCGGCAACACATCAGACACGTCAGTGGGGAGCAGAGGAGAGCACCCACGCGGAGAGCGGAGCACGAGACAATCCGGAAGAAACAGCAGGGAAAACCATCGCCCACAGAAACGAGCAGCAACACGCCTCACACCCAACAGGGAAAGAAAGACAGACAGAGAGTGAGAGAGATGGGTGGATGCCGTCAAGAGGCGCTCACGATCCACACGGCGCGTGAGCATGCGGCCACATCCCCGCAGCCGACACACAGCGCACCCCGAGCGAGCAACAACCCCACAAGCTACACGCGGAAGTGGTGCCTCATCCATCCATAACGCGGCGCACAAAATTTCACTGCCATCCCGCACCCAATGAGAAGTGGTGCGTCACTCCACGCGGCGACAAAAAGTCAATATCCACCGGGCCGCTTTCCTCATCCTGAGGCTACCAATAATAGAAGTCAAGCAGGACGGGAATGAGAAGTAGATGAAAACAAGTGGTTCACCGCATTCT